GGCATTCCTGAGACATTAAGAAGTGTGATGCCATTATAAGCAATATATTTTTATTTTTTTTAAAAAACCCAGTTCTCACACATATACAGTTCTTAAAAGCTAAACTGGGATTGCCAGATTCAGTAGTAGAGGTAATTTCTTTTCACTTGCATATGCTATTTTTCAAACTTCTCTCAAGGCTTAGCTTCCCTGCCACCTCCCCCTCAGTAAAACAAATGAGAGAATTGTCTTTAAATGAGCAGAAGTTTTACTTGCAATTGGATTAATCAGGAGGAGGAAAGCTGAATGTGGCTTTAAGAACTACTTTTTTGAGTCATATGCCCACTTCTTTTTCTGCCAGAACTTAATCTCTAAAAATGTATTATTGGAAAAAAACGTGAAGACTTCTCAGAAGAATGAAATCTCCCAAAGAAGCTGTTTAACCTCATCACTTAAAGAGACGGTAGCAGGGTCCCTCAATGAATGTGTAAAGATTTTGTCATTTTGAGAGATGCTGTAATCTGCATCTTCTGACATTTTCAAGACTTGGGCATGTAAAGCTCTAGTAACTTGATCTGCTAAGATCTGATCGGATGGTGGCGATAACCTTCTTTTGAGTGCGAGGTTAGAGAGGACAGCCAGCTGCTCCCTTCTTAAAAACATGGCTACGAACCTGTAATGCTATACAAGGACATGGATGGAAATGACTTTTCTTTCAATACTCAACTATGAATGAACCCTGAAGCAGACACAAGATGTCATATCCTTAGTACCTGCTGATAAGACCTCAACTGTCTAGCCCTATAAGCCCTCAGAGAGAACAAACATCCCTCCAGGCCCACATCTAATCCCCTGCCAGCGTAATAGATTAGGCCACTGCATCTTCATCTATTTTCTCTGCTCTCTACTTTGAGCTGGGAGATACATACATTAAGTGTTTCTTGAGGATACACACAGTAAATCTGAAGACAGCTATACCTACCCAAGCCCTCTGGGTTCAATTGTTCGGGCATCACTTAAAGTCTTGGTTGTTATCTCCCTTCAGTTCCTCCAGCACGGGATTCCTCCTGCTGTGAATTCAGCAGGAACTCTCTCTCTTTCTCCACCCCCACCCCAATCTTTTCTTGCCATTCCTTGCGATGGTAAAAACTAGCACAGAGTGATCACCAGAAGGGAACTTGCTCTTTCTTCATCAAGTCAGAAATGATCTTTCTTTGTCCCCCACTCCAGGTCCTCCTCTGACTTTCTGCACTGTGGTTCCTTTGGCCCTGCAACTGGGGCTGCAATGGCCTCACTGCGCTCTCATGTTCTGGTGCTTTTCCATCTACCAAGATGCTTTCACAAGTCATACTTCAGGCAGTATTTGAACCTTGCTCAACTACTAATGTGTTCAGGTTTCCTACTGTCCACAATGTGCACTTGGGTTGGCCTGCTTACTTCCTCAAGTGCTAAAAAAGCTGCTCCTCTCAGGGAAGGGTTCATCTCCAATTCCTTTGTGGATTGACTTCAGAGATGTCTTGGTTATTGTTGCTCTCCTTTACTGCACATGTGGACTTCATAAAGTATTCTCCAATGAAGTTACAGAAGTGGAAGTAGCTGCTCTGAAAAAAAATATTAAGTTCCATTTTGCAGTTATGGGACTGCCTTCATTTCCTCTGAATGCCATACCCCAAGTTTTACAAGAGTAAGTCTTACAAGAGTTGATTACTTCAGTGGAATCAATTGTTTTATATGAGAAAACACTTCAGCTCAGTAAGTCCAGATTTTTATATGGGGTAAAGATACCGAGACATTTCACAGCGAGGGACAAAGTTCCACAGACAAAATCCATTTCCTTCTTAAGCCCAGTAGATACTGGATGGCCAAAGGATACTTTAACACAAATGGCATAAAATAAATCTGACTCCGAAAATCACTTATTGTTTGCTAGTAGAGGAACACATTTCCTGTTTGATTTCAGGTTCTGAATTCTGCAGACGAATATCACACATCCGTTAACACTGTTCTTGTGGAGTCTTTGGAAGGTACTATGCACAGAACTGAGGAACTGTTTTCCTTCTGAAATTTTATCCTTGCTTTGGAAGACGGCAACCCCCATGTTCAAAGCAACTGCTTGGGGTGCCAGTAATCTGGGTTCTGTTTCAGCTTTCTTACAACTGGTTTAAGCAAGTTAAGGCCTCAGTTCCTCTGTCTATTAAATGGGATTCATAACATTTCCTCAGGACAGCAGAAGTTGAGATTTTTAATTCATTATGGAGCATAAGGAACTCAGATAATAGTCTAGAGGCCATGGCACAGTATCTATAAATAAGCCTGCCAGCTGTTGGCTGATATCCAATAATCCGGCCACCTCCAGATGAGAGCGCCTGCCCTGCCCACATGCTCATTACTTCATACGACCTTTCCAATGCTTTTGCTAGGCCTGACACAGCCGTCCTTCTTTGTGCACAGCTCCCGCTAGGGCACGCAGATTTCAGGCCCCTGTTCTGGTGCTGTCCTGGCCATCTGCCCGCAGCTGCCCTTGGCTGGAGGCTCACCCTGCCCCATCCATATGTTCTCTCCTTCCAGTCCATTTGCCAGGCTTCCAGGTGCTGCCCTCTGATGCCTGCTGATATTGCCAGGAGTTTTAGTAGAGATGTCCTGCCTACCCACATGTTGATAGCTTTGCCATATTCTGGCTGCCTGAAGTTGCCCTGTACACCTGCTCTAAATGTATTCTCCAAATGGATTGTGCTACTCCATTTCATGCTGCAATTTTTTTGGAATGCTTCCAGGAGAAATATGTTAAAATAATCATCATAAAAGAGATGATACTTGCTCCCTACCCAGCTCTGAAATCCTAATGGTGGAAAAATCCAGCTTATTTGCTCTAAAAGCAATATTGCACTCAAAAATAATGGGTATCTGGATGTTTCTGAATATCAGTGTTACAGGAAAATATCCACGGTTTTTAAGTTCAAATGATTCCACTGAGACTTTTAAGGTGCCAGACAAGAAAGCTGGGAATATAATTGGGAAAATATATAAACCTAAATTAAATAAACTTCACCTACTTAGTACGGTGAGGATAAACATATGCAACATTTAGTATTTGTAACTTTTTTCTTAAATCGCCTTGCTTTATAGCATGCTACCAGCCATAACACTCAATAAAACCAAGCAGTGCAAGTTACAAATGCATTAATCACCAATAGCACATAGCAGGAAATCAAATAAAATAAAAATGAATGATGGCGATAATTCACCCTCAACATGCATTCTAGCTCCCAAAGTTAATGCAGCATCATATGGCACAAATATAAATCCGTATGGTGGGTGTTTTTTTGAGGACCGAAGGAGGGGTAAATGATGCAAGTGGCAGAATGACGTGCACACACAAAAAATATTGCTCTGTACACCAATAAATTATATGACAGCAAACCAACCGTGCAAACACTAATTATACTTTCCTTTTTACTAATTGTCTGTGGTCTCTTTTAAGTCCTTTACTACTGGTGCTACAAATTTAAGAGTTTTTGTTGGTGTTAAAAATAACCAACACACCCTCCCTGCCTTCAATTCAAGACCTTTTCGGTTTGTCCCATTCAGCCTGTGCTCTGCTGGAAGGTTATTATAATCTTGGCATTCATCTGTTGCATTTCTTTCAGAGAATCCACATAAGCAAAATCTGTTGGCAGGAATATTGTTGGTTTAGTAACTTCTAATATACAAGTAACATGATGCTAAAATTAAGACCCTCTGTATGCTATATTTTCCAATTATTCCATTCTAATAGCAACAGACAATGATAATATAAATCATAGCAACAATTAGCAGTGTATTCTTTGCTTGAATAGAGTAGAAGACATCCAAATCTATGCAAAAAAAAGAGGAAATTTAGAAAGAAAGCATGAAACAACATAATAAGACCCTTTACTTTGGCACCTCAGAGGTTATATTCTTGCACTCATGCATCAAAAATCACTGCTAGCCCGAGAGAAACTGTGATAAAACCACCGTTCTTTCCCCCGCCCTCCTTTTCACTTACCTTCTGAGGGCTGAGGGGTCCCACAGGGAGTGGAAGGGGTCTTCAGCTCTTCCTGGGACTCTGCGGATGCTGGGCTGATGCACTTGGGTACAGGCGAGGATGGGGCTGAAGGAGATCTCAGGTTTAAGGACAGCTCACTTCTGCCTCGGCTTATGCTCCGACTCTTCAGCTCCTTCTCATACTCCTCCGCTGCCAACCTCTCCAAGTATTTGTATCTGAAAGTTAAATTCCAGAGGGTTTCCGTAAAGAAAAAGAAGTCTGTGGCTGATGCTTGTTTATGGATGAAACACCTGCAGAGAATGAGCTGACTTCCTGACACAAGGGGTACAGCGCTAAACTGCCTGCTTGGTCAATCTGCCAAAAAACACATACTAAAGCAAAGACTATTGCCCTGAAAAATGTTAAATTGCTCATGACAAAACAAAAGCAAAAACCAGCAGAGTTAAAGAGTCCTTAGATATAGTATTGTGTCTGCATAGTCTTTCTCCTTTTGGAAGCATTTGTCTGCCCTCCTTTTCACCCTCCTCCTTCACCTCCTCCTCCTCCCAGCCCTCCCTCTCCCAAAACTAAAATGGGAGGGAAAAAAGAAAAAAAACAAAGGAAAAAAAAAAAAGAGAACACCTCCAAAGCCAGAGCCCCTTAATACTGATGCAAATAGCCAAAGTCTGAGACTTGCTGCAAGAAGAAGAAAGTGGTTCAGTGCAGCAGACAAAAACAGATCTCCCTGAAAATAATACCAATAATAAATGTTTGGATTGACTATCTAAAGTCTCTGAACCTGCTTCTATTTGCTCTGAGAGCAATGCACTGGAATTCACTTTGTTCTCTCCAGAGTCTACAATGGAAAGTTTTCTTTTTTTTATTCTAAAAAATTTCTGTGCCGGACTCAGACATCCAATAGCTTGGACCTGACGTCACATGTAGTTTATTCATCAAAGTCACTTTAAAAGAACAAAGATACATCTGTTTTGCATTTTAGGCAGGCAGAACTCACTAACTGTTTATTAAGACCAGCTACCAATCATATTCTTCATAGTGTGCTTTATACATTTCGACCAAAATAACTTTGAAATCTGTGCCTCTTCCAGATGTCTGCTAATTTTATCCACTATTATTTGCTAAGGAATAAATTCATGAATACAGCTGGATTGGGCTTTAGACTGTTTGTCTTACCCACAAGTGAACTGTTAAACAGGTTAATCAAGACTACTGCTTACGTCCCCGAAACACTGTGGTCATCCTCCTATAACACACTGTTGTAAACACTTCGTAACAGGCAACACCTCTCCTCCCCGCTTCTGCCTCACTGACAGCCCGAATTAGTGTATGAGGGTGCATTAAAAGCAGGCAGGGTAAAGAAGTCAGCCATATGTGGTAACAAACATGCTTACTACAGATGGTAGTCACACATGCATGCACATTTGCAAACATCCATACAGAGCATAGAAATGTGTCTTTGAAGAGCAGTCCTTGTGTTTTCGGAGGCAAATTGCTTTATTGCAAACAGCAATAATGAAGGAAAAACTCATTTTCTTTTATTCCTCCAGAGGTATGCACAGGCTTTGAACAAATTCTGCAAGAAAAGGAACCCCTACAGACTCTGGATGAAAATATAACAAGCCACATACTTGTATGGTTATAAAATAGGAACTGTTTACAATTCTAACATGAAGCCAATTCTCGAGAATGATTTTTGCCTTTTCAATAGAGGAGAAAGCCTTTCACTGGCATTAGCATAATGTTTTGTTACAGTTCATGAAGCCAGTCTTTCTTTTAATGCTGGTCACCTACATATCGTGCCTTCCGCCTCCTCGCAAGTAGACCAGATGGGACTTCAGCCTCGTAAAGAGCCATTCAAATTGATGACTTAGCTCAGACAGGTACAGCCCAGCTGGCTGCTGCTGAGGAGGGTTTTGCAGTTTGCCAACACGCTACAACAAAGATCTGGATGGATCCTTCTATAAGGGGGGGAACTACAGCGTTTTATTGTCCTCAGCTCTTTTTCAGCTGCTTTAACATTTTAGCTTCTGTAGCTGTGTGCTGCACAGCCAACCAGCAAAGCGGAGGACTATCATCAAGACGTGCCTTCTCAAAATGTATGTTTATTATACTGAAAGAAAAAAGGGAACCAGAACAGCAATTCTCATGGCAGTACATAAGCATAACTAATTATTAAATGGGTAAGCTAATAAGCAGATATGGCAATTTAACCGCGAAATAAATATCATTCTAGAACCTGTTATTAACACTGCACACTTGATAAGCAACGTGTATTTCGGGTATTTTTTGTTTCAGCGCAATGTCTTAACAATGAATGAATGCCAGCATCAAATACATAAGGTCTCATGAAGACTAAAATCTTAAGTTGAAAGGATGAGCTACCATCCCTCTTCTGCAATTAGCTCCTCCTCTACAGGACTGACCCATTGCCTGTGTATATACTGCCATATTCCTTTAAATCACGGAAACCTGCAGGCGTCATCATGCCTATGCTGACTCTTCTCTATAGACAAAGAGCCAAAAATCTGTGGGCTATCCATTTGGCATACCTCATGTATTCCACTTACCGTCTTTAAGCAGATGAAAATATCATTGTGGGTTCTCCAGGTCTCTCAGCAATGTTTTGAGGGTGACTTAAAATGTTTATGTACCAACAAAGTCACTGGTTGGAGAGCATTTGAGCTGTAAATCACACTAAAGAGGGCCTGGGAGCTCACCTTTGTTGGGTTATTTTTAAACTATCACTGGCATATATCCAACCAACCAAAGTAAAAAAAAAAAGGCCTCGAATCATTGAACAGCAAGAACACATGAAATGAATGGTGCTAAGTTACACTCAGACTCCTCAAAACTGCAGGAATCTTTCTCCCTCACACTGAGGCCACCACAGAGCCATTGGAAAAGTGGGTGCCTGTATTCTGGAGCTCTAGGGTGACACGACAGTACACAGAATGCTCCAAAGATTTGACAGAATTTAGACAAATCAGTGCTTTTAACAGAGCCCTTCCCATGTGCTCAATATTACCTCCGTCTAGTTTTCCACACTGATAAGGAGGGAACGTCCAGATTTTAAATAGGATTTTAGCACCTTGGCTATAGCATTTTCTTATAGTCCATGCATTCTCTTTAAACATGTCAACATGCAACTTGCTTCAGGAAATTAAACTTCATTTGTGCAAAGGTGTTTCCTTAGAAAAAAAAAATAGTCACAGAGGGCCAATGTAATGGACTTCTGGTGCAAGACTTCACTTGCAGAAGTCTTCTCCAATATCTATGTGCTGTCAAAGCAAACATGTGTCTTTCCTCTTTATGAGGAAGAACTGATAGTTTAACATTTCAGTTCAAAAGAGCCCTAAGGATAAATACACATTCCTAATGACCAGTGAAATTGTCTCAGATTGCACAGCAGTGATGTCCTGCTGGTGAACACTTCCCCAAAAGTACTCCAGTTTACTTAGCATATTCCCTTACAACTTGAAAGTGCCGGAGAGCTCACTTCTAATTTGTTTCAAATCTTGCTGACGAGCATGCTTGCTGTAAACGGTTTTACTCAGCTAAGATCAAGGTATGTCGCTTACATGCTCTGACGTGTTTCATTTCAGAAAATGCTTCAAACTATTTGTAATTGTTTTCGCTGGAAGGATAAAGGAAAGCCTATCCACCTTTTCTTACTCTTAGAGATGTCAAAATAATTTTTTAATATTAGCTACTTCAGCCACAATAGATCAGACTTCAGTGTGCAGAAATGAGCTGCCTCCTGTATGATGATTTTGCAAAAAAAAAAAAATCCACAACAAAACAACCAACCAAACAAAACCCCCCAAAACCCCAAAATGCAGCAACACAATGATGTCTGAGATGGCTGCTCTCATTATGTTACTTTGATAATGTAATTCCAAGTCTTGACAATCCAAAAGTATCTCCAGAGAGTAACCTCTGGAGGACCGTAAAAGCCGAACTGAAGCAATGATTTTTATCTACTATGTGTTCAGTAACATGCATACTTTCCAGGTAAAAACAAGAGCTCCCTCCAGGGTGCAATTACTAGTGGAGGTAGAGATGAAGCTACTGCAAGGCAAAGGTCTTTAATCGAGTATTCCTTGAAAAATGTGCTTTCATAAGCACATAGCTCCCAGCCTAGCCCAGAGTTTCTAAACTACTTAATTGAATTTAAAAAAGGAAGAAAAAACTCAAAACCTCAGTCCCTTTAAATACGCTATTTAAATAAAACTGAAACAATGCCACAATGATAAACACTGCTAAGCTTTGTAATTTACTTGCTGATCTTTGGAGAGATCAGCAAAGAAAACTTGGCCCTGAAAGATAAAAATATGCAGGGAGTGGGTCAGAACCAATTCCATCAGCCTGTGACTGCAGTTTTGCAATGCTTGTGACCCCAATTTCCTTTATCCTCGGTTGCCTTTTCTGACCCTCCAGAAAGCTTGGGACCCCCTGGGTGAGAAAGACAGGCTTATTCAATTTGTAACTATACTAAATTTGGGCAAATTTCTGAGGCAAATGGAGTAAGCTTATTTCCCACACAAACAGATAAAAGATAGATCATCAATCATTCTTATGCATTCCAGTCCCACTGCTCTTCATTTATTGCTGTGCTTACAGCTGGACTTCATTCTGCTTTTTAATGAAACAACCGCTTTCTTATAGAAGTCTTTTGGAATTAAAGTGTTCTGTGCATGCAGAGTTAAAAATGTAAATACACGACAGTAAAGAATATAGGAAGTGCAAACAACCAAAGGGAAGGATGGATGCATTATATACAAACCTCTCTTCTCTTGCTTGTCTTAGTTCTTCTCTTTTGTCTAAATAATCGCGGCTAAAAAGAGAATTGCAGTAAATTGCAGGGGAAACCAGAAGAATAAGGTAACAGAAGTGTAAGTACAGTAGGAGAAACCAAGAGCAGTACAAACAAGCTGATCAGAGACAATGAAGGCTGTTGTCAACAAAAACTCGTTTGTTTTTGTAAAAAAGGCTGAAAAGTACACTGCGTACACTTATCCATGCATACACCACATGTATGTGTACACCAAATATGTAGTTTGGAAGGTCATTACAAGTAATTATAAAAAACTCCAAAAAGTTAAGAACTTGAAGCACATTTTGAAACGTGGTATCTGAAATCAGGTACACTGAAGTGGACTCATCCATAAGGAGCTGGCACATTAGTGGCTACTGAACCATCCCTCATTTGCCCCATCTAGAACGCCCCGAGAGAGAGTGACTGCAGCACCTGGCAGGCTGGGCCAAGGCAGGGAGCGCACCATGTTGCCCCCCTTTCTAATATACCTTTCCTCAGTGTCTTTTAGTTGCCATGGTTGGAAACGGGACAGCGGGCTGGCGTTACTGAGTAGGACAATTCTTTGTTCTTACAAGGCGCATGCAGGATCATCGGACAGGTGACAACCTTTCACTTTATTTCTCACCCTGAGTTTTAGATACAAACCTCCGTTTATGTCAGCTGTCCCTCCCACAGCTCCTCAAGTAACTCATATATTTAGCTTTTGCCAAGTCAACTTTGCTGGATGCTCAGGCACCGTGATTTCAGGCAGGCCTGTCACACCCACAAATGTGGATGCAAATTTAACTGGGAGCACAACAGAACGCAGTGAATGTCCAGCCTGCCTGAATAGCACACCAAGATAGTTCCTTACAACATATTTTTAATATTTTGTTGAATCTGGTGGACAAAATTGATGAGACTTTCACCTTATCTGCTAAATTCTTCTACATCTTAACCTGTGAGTACCAGAAACATTTTCAGAACTACTCCATTTATGAATAAAACACTATTTTTTCTCTTTATATTGTGTCACCAAATGAATTACTTATTATCTACTATACCAATAGCTATCAGACATCTGCTATCAGGTGCTCTTCAAAAGTCCATTAACATGGAACACACATTACTGTTTCAGGCTATCTCGACATCCTTTGAATCCCTGAACTGGTTATCCTTTTATCATATTTTCAGAGCATTCTTTGGAATTACAATAACTATGGGAGTAATTCCAAGGGGAAAAAAAAAAAATCTAAGAATTTTTCAGCAGGCAAATTTTAACATTACTCTTTCTCCTCTGACAACTTTCACCCCTCCCTACAGCTGAAGAATAACCCTTGTATTTCAGGACATGTTGTTCTACGTATGCAATGGGTACAATTGTCCTTCTACTGAGAAGAATGTTCATGATGTAAAGCATTCCTTCTGCAAGCAATAGCTTATGAAGCTTTTTAAAACTTCTCCTAAAACCAAGCTCTTTCACAACTGCTGATGCTCTCCTTTAAATTATCCTCAATTTGTCAATAATGGTGCCAGAACCTAGAGCAATGTTCTCAAGGCAGAATTGGAAAGAATGAGATAACAAATGAGTCATGATGGTAAATCCAGTACTGCTCACGAGTTTAAAGGCTGTGAATTGCAAGTGCTATTTTTAATCAAAAATACATCTTCAGAGACTGAGTTTCTAGCCAGACTGATGATACGATAATGTAATCCCAAGAACTCTTACAAAACTGCCCATGACTGTTTGCTGTGGCTTTGTCCTCCTCCTGCCAGACTGTTTAATCAACTGTGGGATGCTGGGTGTCTGCAAAGTTTGGTGGCTTTGGAGACCCTCTACTCAAACATAAGTTATAACTTCTGGGTGACCAGGGAACTCAAATCTAGATGATGAAAACACTGGGAACTGAAAAATCATTGTCTTAAATATGCAACACAATCATGATGTTTAGTTAACCAGTTTCTGACTCTGGAGTAATGGGATGAAGATGTATATTAAAAAAAATTGGTTTTCTGACTTTAAAGAAGCCTTTTAGTGACAGAACAACTACTGTAGCCAACCTCTAGCAAAATGTACAGATCTGTTATTCAAACAGGTCAAGCTGCCAAATGTCCTGGTGGCTTTTTTGGTCTGGGAGTTTCCTTTCTGAAAGATCATGTTGGCTGTTCATGGCAGCCTGCTGCAGCCTGATGATACCACTTAGAGGGAGGGTTTTTGGAAGAGGCTTGAAGATTGAGACCTGATTGTTTCTGTTTCAGGAGAACATGGGCAGCTTTTGGCTGGCAAAGATCCTATTATGGTGCTCTTCCACCTTCCCTCTGCCTCTCATTTTCTTCTAAACTAGCTGTCTTCTGGAGCCAGGAGAGTATCTCCTTCAACTAACCAACCAAAGTTGCTCCTCTTTCCAAATTCACTATGACACAGACTTACTAAAGACATTATTACAGTGAAAACAATCCTGCATACTAATAAACAAGATTACATGAATCCCAGTGCTATCTTTTCCATAAATACCAACTCTAAGGCTACAAAACAGTTATCTTCACCATTCTTTAGATTACTACATTATGTCTTCTAACTACTAAAAATATGTTTACTTTTCACTCCTGTTTATGAGGAAACAAATTGGTTTCTTAGTGTACATTCTTCAGACAGCTGGCAAACCACTTCAGGTATAGGCACCTTATCTATCCTAAAGCCCACAGCAGCCTTTGCTAATGCTGGTACTGGGATTTCCAGGCATAGATTTAACAGGGGGAGAGGACTTGCTTCTTACTATTCTCAGGCAGCACACCCTGGGATCTCACAGCACACCACATGGTCTCAGATGTCTCAGAAAATGGAAAGCCCTATATTCAGCTGGGGCCTCTAGCCACAGTTTGAGCAATAATTTTGATAATTAATTTCTGTCAGTTGCTGCTTCCAGGAGGATGAGACACATGTTCAAAAAAGCAGGAAAAAGTGTAATTTAAAAACACTACCATATATCTCGAGACCTCAGAACGCTTTTACTTTGCAGAACACAAAAGCAAATAGATGTCCCAGTGCTGTTCCTTCCTCCCTTCTTGATACCTTCCTCCCACTGTTTCATCTTGAGATCCTATGCCTCATTGAGATTATACTTTGAGAAGGAGTATATTAGCTAATAAAATCTGGCGTCTGCAGATATCCGGTCAGTATAATTGGCAAGTATATGTCTGTCTTTTTAAAAAATTGCTGGCTTATTAAATGCTAAAATTCATCATGATGTGTTTAATAGATCAGTTCTTATAATACTTAGATCAAGAAGGGTATCTAAAGAGACATACCAACTATTCATCAATTCAATTATTTTGCAATTGAATGTCTCCATGATTTATAGACCCATCACACATTAAAGCAACAGACAGAGAGCAAATTTGGTTCCTACTTGAATTTGTTTCTTTCTTCACGTTCTATCCTTTGCAACCTTTCTTCTCTCTCCTGACGTCGTCTTTCTCTTTCTGCTGCCAAGGTCTCCTGGTGCTGCCGAAAAGATGATGTAAGGAGACCACCCAAAGCTGGCCTGCAGAGAAGGAAGATCAGATTTCTCAGTGTCATTTTTATTGATTATGCTGGCAAAAAATGAGTAGCAATCATTCAGTAAGTAACATAATCCCAATCAACAGAACGACATGGCAATATTTATGTATGGATGCTTCAAAGCACTAGCTAAGTATCTTCCTGCTAAATTGATTTTAGATCATGTGACAGATAGGATAGGCTTCTTAAACTGCTAAATTTCTGGAGCATGAATAAAGTATGTGTAAGAATTCTTCATTGTATTTTAACTGCAATATTGTCTAAATTATTTTTTTACTGTATAATCCTGCTAACTGAAAAGCTGAATCCTATAATGGATTTTTTAAATTTTAAAGAAAAAAGACCCCCAGGAATATTTTTTCAGCATTTTCCAAACATGTTATGCAATGATGTTAAAACCAGATGTGTCACAATCACCTGAGAATCCTGTATACAGAAGAACAAAAGTAAAAGAAGATGAAAGAACTGCCCTTCAGAATTTGAATGCTTTCTTAAGTAGGGGTATATTTTTCCTTTATACATTAACAAATTCTGTTATCATTATTTCCTTGCTGCACATGCTGCAAAAGCAAAATGAATCACGTGTGGGAACATATCAATAAAATACACAGGGACAGCACAGCTAGTTATAATAATCATTAAGTGGCATCAAAATTGCTATAAAAAATCAGAAGAAACGGGGCTGAAGGAGAACAGGTTACCCATTATCCTCTCCTTGCCCAGGGTAGGATTTAGTCTTCTCAAACCATTCTTGAAAACTGTTTGTCCAACCTGCCTTAAAAATCTTAATGACAGATGTACCACACCCATCTATTTCAGCGCTTAACTACATCTGCCAGCAAGAACGGCTTCTCTGCTGTCTAGACTAAATTGCCTTTTTTTTTTTTTTTTTTTTGCCATTTAGATCCACTCATTCTTGTTCTGCCCAGAGTAAACAAAAAGAACAGTTTACTACCACCTGTTTTATGGCTAAGCCAGAATTAGTCTGAAAGGGGACTTTCTCTGCAGTCCTCTGACCATAACTATGAACTGGATGCTCCACAGTAGGTTGCTATTATGAAGGAGGCTCGATGTCACCACAAGCAATGTACATCCAACTTTTAGCTGTTGTTCAACAGGCTGTTAAGATGCATGAGATAAGATGGTAAATGCTCAGCCAAAAGAAGTGGGACTTTTTCCATCAGAAATGGCAGCCTCTAAAGTAAAGACTTCTCAAATATATAAATTATTTTTTTTTGAGATGAAATAGTTCAAGTAGCAAATACACTTAAAAAAGCTACATCTATATACCCTTATAGTTTTGCCTTGACATAGATTTTTGATTTTTTTCACTGACAGTACTACTTTGGCTAGGAGAGTTGTTCCTCTTGCTCATCCTTCTCCCAGAATGGTGGTACTGGTACCACCAACCTCTCACGTGGCAACAAAGCGACCTCAGAGTAAACATGTCTTTCTTTCTGTCTCTTAGATAGGAAAAATCTGTATTGTATGGGGTAGCTTTATACAGACGTAAATGTATCCACACTGATTGAATTAAACTGATAAAATCAAAAAGACATAACACGTAGAGCCGTTTCTGTGCATTGTTGTAACATGAGTTTTACAATGAAAGGATTAATGAAAGAAATTGATACTGCTTTTTCTGAAAAGAAATTGAACCCCAGCTAAAGGAAGGTTCTTAAACCAGCAATGCAAACCTGAATAAATTTCCATTACTTTTTAAGAACTCAGACCCTTTCCGTTATTTATTTACATGCCTATGGCTGCACAATGCAGGCATTTAGTGTAATGGCATCAGTTCACCAGTGAAAATAGGTGCAGAAGACAAAAACGTTAATGCAAACCTATCTTTCCTGAGTGTCTCTGTCTGTGCAAGAAGGAATGCCACAAAACATAGCCGTTTCAGCCTCACTGGCAGCAGGGCAGTATGAATATAATTTCAATAATTTCAATAAATTGAATTTCAATATGTCATATCCCACCCGCATAAACATTACATAAGATGGTATAAAACTTGATATTCTGTAAGCCTCCCTGCTGGCACTCCTCCAGAGCTACAGTATCAATGCTGGATCACGCTCAAAACCATAAAAATCTCTAATATGCCTCAGCACTAAGGAAAGGGGAAAAAAAAAATCCTCAAACTCTGACAGTCAAGTATGTGTGGTGAATTTTCCCTTGAATATATTTTAAATTTATTTAACCTTTGACCTTTTAGTGCATATTGCAAGAGAAAGCTCCCAGCAGAAACAGTAGCACCACTGTACTAAGATCCGAAAGCTAGAGCTCCATCCCTGTGGTAGCATGAAAAAACAGGGCAATAAGGTAGGATAGATCATCAGAAATTGCTCTCGGAAGGCGAAAACTGGACAGTGCCTCGACATGAAGACATCTGGAAATAAACTGGAAGAGATGGCAAAAAGAGGGTCCCTATCAAGTCTGTGCTTGTATCTGTGCTGTGTATGTAGCCTGCTATCCCATTCCATCCCATCTCATCCAGCTGCCCTGAAGTCTGCAAACTCCATTTGGAGTCAAAGGAAGTTATGACTTAATTAAACCTGAAGGAAAATTAAGGGGAAGGATGGGGTGATGCTGAGAGACCAAAAGAGTGATTGTAGGTCTGCACAGCATCTAGCAGGTTGGAAACCTTCAGGTCTGATCAAGCTCTTTGGGGCTCCACCGTAAATACACATTCTTATCCAAGGGATTACAGGGGAATCACATGGACATGTGCCGCTTAGTCTTGCAGATGAGATTCTAACCTGACCCTGGTAGTAAAATGTCTCCACATGCCAAAACACCTTGTTCAGAGGTTTGATCTAGCACAGTTTGGTTAGCATTGCTCGCTCAGCTGAAATTTGCACATGTATGAACAGCAGCCTCACAATCTAAATAAAAGATCAACAGCCATATAGTCAGGAAAAAAGCTAATGCCTAAGAAACTGCTGGACATCCCTGTGCCATATGAGTTTGCCACCTCTTGGAAACTAATGGAATCAATAATAAATAGCCAAAACTTGGTATTTCACACTGGTTATTTTATAGGTCCATACTTCAGCTGAGTTACAAACTATAGTATAGCATGCACACAAATACCCGAGACAATTCATTTGTCCCAAACAGACAGTTCTGGACCAATATACCACATACAACTGTTTATTACATGAAATGGTCAAAACTAACAGTCAAAGCTGCAAGAAGTTTCTGTTGAAACAGGTTATAATTAAACAGACAGGAACACGGCCAGCTGACTCCTTGTGTGGCACTGACTTCTTCAAAAAACAATCAGGTTTTGAGTTTTGAATCAAATTTAGAAAACAAGGGGCAACAAAACAGCACTGATATTGCTGAGTTAGTGCTCGCTTAGTGGTTGGGTCCTGCGCCATCCAGCCCACTTGACCGGACGCATCTTCCCTCTGCGAAGACCACACCTCATGCCAAGTGCTGAGACCATTTCCCTGTTAAACCTCGTAAACTCGCAGCTTCATTGTTGCTGTCAACCACTGACTGAGCCGGTATTTGATTGCATCAATCCTCTTTTTAGTGTGAACTGCAACTGTAAATGAGCAGATAAACTTTATCCTTAATTTTCTACACATGCATAAACTAAAACTGGAGGAAACAGGTGTTACTTTCAGGGTGTACAAACTCGTACAACAGCCAGAAGGAAAGCCAAGCAGTAAGAGGTATTCCTCAAATATTCTAAACAATCTGAAAAGGGATTTGTCTATGTTTGGTTTGTCTGTAAAATCTATTTTTCTGTCTCTGTATCCCCCTGGCAATAAGGCTTAAAATAAATGTTCCCTTTCGCTGAAGTCATACTTGAATTGCAAATGGCAGCAGGACTGGCCAAACCAGCAGGCGGGAAGGCTTGGGCTGAGCCTTCAGGTAGTTTTGATGCTTTGATGCTGTTTAAAGGGTCACAGTACCTTCAGGCCTTGGGAATGTTTAATTCTTACTGCTGTAGGCTGCATTTTAAAAATGGGTGAGCAAGGAAAAGGCTGGGGAAAAAAATCTGGCATTCAACCAAAGGTGGTAAGAGATTTTAACAGAGTATGTGAATACCCAATGAAAGCATAATAGAGTGATCACTCACAAAATGGGGTTATAGTTAATATATGCCAGCATTTTAATCTTGGTATCATATGTTACCAACGGGTAATATCAACCATTTGTTCAATTCTACAGATACAATCCAGAAGGACGCTTACTCTGACTACTATTTTTAGTCTGGTAGAGAACACAAGGCTATTAAGAATGGACTGTTAATACAAAAATATTAAGAAAAGCTTTCTTCTGCCTGCTGTTAAAACCAGCAAAAGCTAAACAAGCTATGTTATTCCACTCTCATTCCAGAAAGAAAACACACAGCAAGAATATGTCTAAGTCTGGGGATTTGTGAATATAGCTCCACACCACAGCATTAGGACCTGGGGACACAGAGGTCATTAGTTACTTATCTTGCTGGGAAAAGACAGGAAAGAGCAAAGAATAGGAAAAAATAAAGAAGGAAAAAGAAGGCAACAAAAATATACACAGGGCAGAGGATACAAAACAAAACCATTGATTATAAGCCAAAACTCTTCTGAATAAAAAGTCATCTAACCTGAGCTATTGCTTTTAACACAGCAGTGAATTAGTAACACAAGATATCTCACACTATTTTGCAAGTACTTGCAGTTTTCTGACAATACTCCATCACAGACTATATATTGTGAAAAGGAGTATGTGACTTGAATTACTCTAATCTTGCTGAAAATTGAGGAAAATATTTCTGTCTTACTCTAAGCCACTTTATCACAGCAACATTGCAATTATCAACTTCAAATGTTCTTCATTCATGTTAACTCTGAAATACACTTCTTTTGTGGCTGCATTTTCCTCTGTTAGTTGAATTTTAAAATTTTCCTAAATGGCAATGGATATCTATAGCAAGAATACAAAATACAAATGTATATTCTTGGGAGGTTAAAAAAAAAATTA